GTGGGCCGCCCGCTCGCTGGCTCCGCTCCTTGGCGCAGTCAGGGTCTCTCCGGCTGTCCCTGGTTTCTGCTACGCAGGCATCGCTGTGCCGGAGAGCAACGCACGCTGCCGCTGTGGCTGGTACCTTGAGCCTCTGGCGCTCTGCAGAGCTCTCCTCTTCACCTTCACCTGTCTCCTAGCAACCCAGCATCCCTGCGGCAGGGTACCACTTTGAGCATCCTTCTGCTGCCCCAGCTCCCGGCCCCTTCTCTTCCTCAGGAAGGAGGAAACGAGCCGCGCTGCTCCTGCCTGCCTAGGCAGCCCACTGCTGTCTGCTAGCGAAAGCACCTGCCTGTCCTGATCCAAGAAAACCTCTCTGAAACTGCTTCAGCAGATGAAGGTACAGAGAGAAGCTCAGGGAAATGCCGGCAGCTGCAGCCAGGGGTAAACAACAGTGTCACTCAGCGAAGATGGTGCCAGCAAACTGCTCGCTGTCCCAGGGCAGATAACCTTGCCAGAAGGTAAGTCAGCCCTGACTCCCCTGGCACACTCCTTTCCAAAGCATCCGTCGATTTTTGGAGTAAGAACAGTGGTGAGGGGAGGGAAAGGGGTGGAAACGGGTCTCAGCAAGAACGGGATTGTTCCTGCATTGGTGTGTGCAAGGCATAGTGGGGCAGGCAGAAGAAGAGGTGCATGTTTATCTGCACTAACAGGTTCATGATCATAGCACCAAAGAGTCAGAGAGGTCATGGAAAAAGAGCCTCAAAAGATAACACAGCCCAGCACCCTGCTCAGAGGCAGGTAAGCCAACTTTCTCTCTCTCAATCCTGAAAAAAGTTTGTTCAAACCACTCTTCAAAACTTCCATCAGTGGCAGTCCCAATACCTCCTTCTCCATCTCTTCCATATTAACTTCACTTTGGGAGGCTTTACCAAAATCTCCTTCACTACTACAAACTAAGCCTGCTCCTCTTGGTCCTACCCACCGTGGCCAGTCTTCCACCCAGACCTCAAAAAGTATATGCAACCCTTGAAATACCTGGTGACACCATATCTCCCATCCCATCTTTACTGAACTACCTATATAAATATTCACTTGTGGAAAGTATCTCAAGTCCAAATGAATTCTTAAGTTTTACCATGTATCAAGATTCTCTGATTCTCCTGTTTATTCCCCTCCTTCTTGCATGAGGTCAGAGGCAGCTAAGCTGCTCAGCATACCCATACCCCATGTGGGTACATGTGCCCATGTGCGTATGATGTTAAAATGTGTGTGAACGCATGTGTTCAAACATCTCATCAGTTGTCACACTGGACAGCAGAGGCCTCACAAACTAGCTGCATCCCGACCAGAGCACAGACTGCTCCTGCATAGCTGCTTTGCTGTCATTGCCTGGGCTCTTTTCAGGCAGGCCTCATGCCAGAGCTGCGTACGGAGACCACCCTGCAGGGCTGTCCTCACCCCTTACCCTTTCTGGTAGGGTGCTGGCCCTCACTCCCCAGCCTTACTTCCAAAAGCGACCCTCTGCCACCACTCACTGATGCAATGCGGGGCCAAACTCAGAGGATCATCACAGGTGAATTGCTCCTGCCCCTGAATCCTCAGGGATCCCACAGACACCAGCTCCCTTACCATGGCATTTGGTATGGGTAAGAAGCTATCAGGAACACAGTCAAAGTTAGGAGGGCAGAAATAACACAACTGCTTTTTTTTTTATCCTCAGAGCTGAACTGGCCCATGTGGATGGGGAAGAGAGGTGAGCAAAGGGAAGTGTTGGCATACATTTGTTCTTGCCCGCTGCTGAGGCAACCCACAACGCATTCAGACTAGATGCCCCTTGCAGCCATCTATGCGGTGGTGAGAGCCCTCGTTCCTATCCACAAGCGGTCAGGCGATTCATGGAAGTAACACTCAGGAGCCCAAGATTCTCTTTTATCCCCATGACTTCACCAGGTTACAGCACATCATACGTGCCATTCTTCTGTCTGTTATCCTGGCTGGAAGACAGGCCACGGCCATAATATAGTCCCAGTACGGAAAGAAAAGACCACGGGCAGTGGGAGACCTTTTGGGCCTGATACTGCCACGCGTTGCTGGCGACACAGGATAGGAGAAGTCTCCTGACCACAGTCTAGCGAGCTGCCACAAACTACAACATCACATGAGTCTCCGCTGATCAAGATCTCAGAAGCAGTTCACGCCTTGCCTTCTTCTTCTCAGAAGAAGTTCACGCTTCTCTGAAGAGACACTGGGCCAAGGACCTTGCAGTTTGGACTTTCTCCTAAGCCCTAGGGTAATGTAGTCATGGTAAGCTTTTTTCCCATTTGTTCTCGTGCCCACGCTGTCCTTTAGAATAAATCATTCTTTCTCCTCTCTTGTGTTTCCGCCCACCCGATGTATTTCTGCATGGCAATCCTGTCCCCTTTCAGCCTTCATTTTTGCCAGGCTAAACAAGCCCAGTTCACTTAACCTCCTCCTGCAAGACAAGATTTCCATTCTCCTGCTGCCTCAGCTGTCTAAGCATTTCCAAAACCAAGGAGGCACATGATGGGGAGAAGGAGGAAGGCACAGCAGCCTGTCCTGGGACATATCCTGGCTCTGCCTGGGGTGTAGGAGGTTGAACCAGGACAAGCAATGAGCTCCTTAGCTCCGTTATCTCAGTCGATTGCCTTCCTCCTCCTCCTGGGGGTCTTGAGCCGCACCGGCTGCAGCGCATTGTACTGGGCACTCGGGAATACAAATAACGAAGCAAAGACTCGGTGCCACCAGTCGCAGGATGCCCGGAGTCTGCTTTGCCTTGGATTTGTGTCCTTGCTCTCCCCTGTCCTTCCACCTACTCCTGCAACAGCCTCAGCTCCTTCCCCCCATCCTCTGTGACCCCAGTAGTTAAGACAGAGCACGAGATCAGACAGCGCTGGAGCCAACAGCAATTCAGCAACAGCTCCCGGGCAGGCAGCTGCCTGTTTGCTGCCTGCCTGCTGCACTCACCGCTGAGATCCCCCCGCCTTTCCTCCCCAAGTCACTCACGTGGACTGTCCTGGCAGGTGCATATATAAATCCTGGAGGAACCTCAGGATCTTTGAGGCTGCTGTCCCTCTTGTGAAATTGCCCAGAAGCAATTTCAAATTTAAAATTTTAAGCCATCAGGTTTGAAAGTTACTGGGGGAGGGGGAGGGGGGGAGGGAGGGAGATGGAGAGCATGAGCCACATGCATCGTCCCCTCGGGTGACCAGCTCCCCAGAGAGACGCTGCTCCATCGCGCCATGCAACAAACCATCCCACAAGCTGCAGTCCCAATTTATCACCATATTGCTGCTTTTCTGCTCTTTTATCACGGCTTCTCTACAGTGATTATAATACACGTCATACCACAAACAATGCCAATGCACCCATTTTGTGGATCATCCGCTCTGGCCGTATTGATTGTCCACGTGGCAGTTAACAAAACAGGGCAGATTTCTAGGCTCTGAAACTCCTGTGGACAGGCTCCTTGTGGGGTCTCTACCATGATGCTCAGCATGGAAATTGCCACTATTTCTGTGCAAATTCTATGCCTAAATTGCATTTCCTAAAACATTACCCTGAATCTTAAAACCATTTAAGACTTTCTAATGTGCCCAGCAAGCTAATGGCCTTTAAAATGCAACGTATTTTTGCTATTTGCACACAAAGAGTATCTAAAAATATCCTTCTCCTATGACTTCTTTGCAGTGCTCCAATACCTGTCAAAATGCCCTGAACAGTTACTGATTTTCAGAAAGTGAATTCAGCTAGCAAAGTCTCCATGCAAGCAAAATATACTCAAGGAAGGAACGCATTTCTTACCTATTTGCTCCTTTCCCATAGCCAGGCGGGTCTGTGGCTCAGCCGAGCCGTTTACGTAGCTCTACAAACCCGTGGGGTTGTTATCTGGTCGCTGCACCTTTCTGATCTGCAAACAGCCCGTCATGCTGACTGATCAGCCATCGGTGAGACGTCAGCTGGAGTGGAAACCCAGCCGGGGAGCAGAGCGCCGCTGACTTGAATCATTTGTTGCTACATCCTTGCTGCTTAGATCTAGCCCACTAAAGTCCACATTTATTTGACTTGGGGCTACACTAGGCTCCTGAGCCCTGAAATGCACGCTGTGTCTGGTGCATGTCGGGTACCGTCTGCACGAGGCCTGCTGCCACATGCAGCCCCAAGTGGCATGGGGGAAAGAGCTACTACAAGCCAACCAATTTCCCTTCTGCATGTTTATTACCCAGGTAGAACATGCTTTTGCTGAGAAGCTGGGGAATCTCCCGGTACAAATCCGTAGTGCTCTCTATTCTGAATCTGCTCCTCTTACCATGCCCGCAGGGAGCCCCAATTTTAGGGCTGCCCATTTGCCCTGTTCCTCTCTGATACCCTACAGAAGCTGCCATGACCTATTATACTGCAGGTGTCCGTGACCATCATGTCTCAAACGCAGCATCCTTCATCTCCAACCTCTTGCCAGTGGGATCCACGAGGGCAGATTTTCCCAGCTGCACAGGAAACCTGCAGGACCGATTCCCTGCTGACCTCAACTCTTCTGCTCTCAGTGAGGTTGAACTTGACCTAGAAAAGTAGTTTCTGTTGTTGGGTTCGTGGGAGGATGTTTTGTTTGTCATGTCTGTGGTTTAGCTGCAAAAATAAAGCTGTTGCAAAATTCCTGGCTAGTCTTTCGTCTACTTTAGGTCTCCCAGGCTCTTCCTGCCCGTTGCGTTTCCCTGTGTCTTCCTTTCCAGTGGCGTTAGCCCTGGAAAAATGGGACTGCCTCATCAGAAATTTAAAATAGAGAAGCATCAGAAAGCTTTGAAGCAAAGCGAGGACTACATTGCAAGAGCCAGGCATCCCGTCTCCAGCGCAGGGCTATCGCCGCAGCGACAGCGACTGTCTGCAAACCATCAGCGCCATCTGAAGCTGCTTCTTGTGCTCCCCAGCGAGAGGCCACCCTTTTTCTTCTAATTTCTCTCTCGGGATGTTCCTCTCCGTCAGTCCTTTCCCACAGCGGCTGTGGAAAGTCGGTCCTTTCCCGCAGCCCCTGCTCCCTCTCCTCCTGCGGCCAGCTCTCTGCGAGCTCCGGGGACGTCCCCGCC